TTCCCTAGGAGCTCATTTTTTTTTATTAGCAAACATCATGGTGTTTGGTACATTTGATTTCTGTTGTCTGCCTGCTGTACTTGCTAGACAATTGTAATTTATTGATTGATGAGGTGGTAAAATTATGAATAGAAGGATAAAACCTGAGGGATAGAAACTGAGTAAGAGAAATAAAGTTCAGAAGAAGAGATTTTGTTTTTAATTGAGACATAAATTTGAGAAAGGATTATGAGATTTCATTTTTACAAATGCGTATGGGATTGAGTTTGAAGACATAAAATCTCTGTATATTGACCCATTCTGGATGGTCCATTGTGCAAAGTTGTATTTAAGTAATCTATGGGCAGTAAAGACCCAATGGGGTTGACAGTCTAGAGTGCAAAGAAGAGAAATGGACAGTTCCATTATGGACTATTCTAAGCACCACCTAATCCTTGCTTTTTCATATTAGCAGATGAAGCTGGCCAAGCTGTATGAAATTTATGTTTGTCTGACCTTCAGGGAGAAGGGTCTCCCAAAAGAGCAGATAAGAGCAGGTCTGATCTCTCTGTGTAGCTCTTGGGAAGGCTGGATTAGAGCTGCATCTCTTGACTTGCCTGCTGTACGCCCTCAGTGCCTGTGCTGCACAACAGTCGGGGCAACCATTGTAAAGAGACAGTCTTAATGGGCCATATTCAGAGACGACTTGTGACTTTTTTGTCCACATTGTCCCTGTCCCCTATTCCAGGGGATAGATTGAGACTCTTTCCTTACCCGGTCAAAACTTTCTTTCCTCATATTGTGGAATCCTTCCTCAGCCTTTCACTTTTCCATTTTCGTTTAATGACTTAATGGAAGGCATTAAATTAGCTTTCTTTTCCTGTTATTGCTCCTCCTGGCCCTTTTCACACCCTTCCGTGGCAGCATACTCACTTATTTCCCACTTGGGGTGCCAGACAGCATCACTGCCAACACAATCCCTTAGCTTACATCATAAACTATGAGATGCAGAAAAATCTGTTAATGAATTGAAGAGGGACAGAGGAGTAGTAGAGAAAAAAAAAAGAGGAAGAAATCATCCTTCATTTTTCAGTGAGACAGTATATTAATCAAAGGTTCAGTAAAGTCTGAGTCCTATTCCCTTAGCGCTTACATAGGAAAAGAGAGACTTTTTTTCTCAGAAGTTTATTGAATAATCTTTCCCCAATTTAACTATGTAAACAGATTTTCCCTATAAGAATTATGAAAAAAAAATCTAATAAAATTAATTACCTGACCTCAAATGGAAAGGAAAAAAGATTTATAGAAATTTGTTTTCTTTCAGAAAGGATTATATAATTTAGGCCTCATAAATCAAAAGATGTGACTAACAAAATAATGAGAATTAAAAATAAAAACGTAAAGGTTTTAAGTTTCATTTTATTTGCCTTCTGATTCTTAAAACTCAATCTTTCAAGTTCCTTTGTCTGCCACTGCAAAATACAGAATGCCTTAGATAGAAATAAGCATTATCTTTTCAAATATTTACATAGTTCAGGAGCCTTTTATTCCAAGAAGACAATAGACTCTAAATTAAATTAAAAAACCACATGTTGCTTAAAAGATTAATCAAAAATACTTAAATTTCAAAATATGGAAAAAATGGGGGGAGAAAAAAAATCAGGGAGAAGCAAAGTTGTAGTAACAGCACTGAGTCTGTTAAATTCAAAATATACTCAGTAGATCACACGAGCAGTCAAAAACTTGATCAGTATATGCCTGAACTCCCAGATATGCTCAGTTCTCGCTTCATTTTTTAAGTAGATTACTGTAAACAGCCTTAGATGAACTTGGAGTTATCAGTCTATTGCACATCCATAATGACCCTGAAGAAAGGACGTGGTATTATCATCAGTCACATAAAGTCTCCAGAACTAAAACATATAATTGTCCCCAGGTCTTTGCAGAAAGCACAGCATAGTCACCTAGTTTGCATATCACATTCAGCTTTTTTGTGAATGGTAAATGCAAAGCTTTCATGATATGAACTCCACCTTTTGAAATGTTTTAATTTTTGGTTAATACTCATGGAAATATTATGAGTTTGACATGTATATTAGTATTATATTTAAACTTCTGTTATGCAGAAACTTAAAAAGGTATATAGTATTTGCTTAAAACAGCTAGGCTTGGCTTGGCAGAATCAGTTTATAACCATATCATAAGAACCTAAAAACAGAATTGAAATTTCCTGACAAAGCCTTTACTTCTCATACACTAGATATACTGCTATTAAACCAAAGTAAAACTATGGAAATCCCCCCCAAACAGTAAACCTGTAAAAAACAGTGCCTTATTTTTACTGTTTGAGGAGTTGCTTTCAGCTTCCATGAACTGAAAAGAATGTCTTACAAAAATATCTGAGCTGTTCATTAGGTGATTAGGGTTGTTCATGTTCTCTCTCCAGTACCTAAAAGAGTGCTGGACCTTGATGATATACCGAGTGCATAGTGCCACCACACAGAATTTGAGGGGGAAATAAGAAGTTCTTGATTTGGCAGGTAATTTTCTCACTGCTTCTTGAAGTTTTTTTGTAAGTTCATAATAAAATAAAAAACAACAAACAAAACCACCCCCCCAAAAAAAACTCAACCCAAACCAAATCCCGAAACAAACAAAAAACCCCAAAGAAAACAAACAACCCCCTCCCCCTAACAAAAGCCCCAAACAACCCAACAACAACAACAACAAAACCCCAAAACAAAAAAAACCCAAACACAAAACTCTAAGGATGAAGTTTGAAGGGAAAGGTTTTGTAGAGCACAGAAAACAATATTTTGGAAGCCACGACAGTTCTTAATTTAGCAAAAAGTTTTCATTGGCTAATAATTCATTTTAAGTCTTTTGAGAAATGTTTCCTCCCACAAGTTCTTTGAAGAGCTCCTAATTTTCTGCCCATTTATTCTGTCAGCAGAGTATCATGGAAAGCTATGCAGCTGGAAACACAGGCTATCCTTTGATGCAAACAGTGAAAAATTTGAACCCTTATTGAGATAACAAATGTAACAACGTTTTAAGTATACTTAGTTTTTACAGACTACAAAGCACTTTTACAAATGAGGAACAGCAGAAAGAAAAAGCAATACTTTCTGAAAGGCAAAATAAGGATTTAATTTTCATTTACTTCTTGTGTTCCACATACCACACAGTCCTAAAGCTTTGAATTGTGATTGACAGTGTTATCATTGTCGACTTCTACTTAATAGGTAACCCTTCAATTAAATAACACAAACAATTTCTTTCAAAAATAGATAAAAATCTGAGTCTTAAGGATAAGTATTAGCAAAGCATAAACAATACTGATTCTACAGTTGATTTCAACTCTGCATTAATGTCATCAGAATAAAGCTGCCATGAGAAATATAGACATATGAAAAGAATATTTTACCAGACTGTAGGTTTCTATAGGAAAATAATGTGAAACTAGAAATACAATCCAATATAAAATGCTATTTTTAAACACATTTTTTTAATCACTCTATATTAGCATTAAAATTACCCAATTTTTTTTCTCAAAGATGAGTTGCAACACTATCTTTGGTTTGTGAAATTGTTAGTCATCTTTTTTCAGTCCTCTGTTTCCCCTCCTCCCCTTTTTTTTATTTACAGAATGTGATTTGGTAAAGATATTTTTAAAAAAAATCTATGCCTCAAATCACCAGTTTTGAATTTAGTGGACAATTCACTTGCAGCACTAAGTGGTCAATAAAACATACTTTTCCTGTTACCAAAATAATTCCATTGAAAATATTTGTTTTGAAAACAGGTAGACCACAATGGGAGTGCAGCTGTGATATAGATATAGATACAGATATAGGTGACCTGCATCTATTTCAGTGTAATCTGAACCCAGAAGCCTGGAGAAATGAATGTGAAGGCAGTTTTTCTGTACTTATGTCTAGGCCGAACTTCACCCATGAGATCATGTCTGGAAGTTGTACAGTCCAGATAACAAGGTACAGTGTCACCTGAACATTGCTCTATTGTTTCCTCAGAAAAACTGTACATTTATAAGGTACAATTCACATTGGCAAAAGACTGGAATTTCTACACCAGTATCTACTGCTGCCCTAAACACACTCCAAGACAGTTCTGAATATTTTTGTTAAATATCACTCCTTATTCTTTACCAAAAGCAAAAAATGAAAACATGAATATGATCTACCTTAATCAGCCATAAGCTGATTGAGTCTCAATTCAGGAAATAGTCTCAATTCAGCAGTTTAGTTTCTACCAGAGCACCATATTCCTTCATAGTTTCTAAGATTTTGAATTGCAAAGATAAAAACTACAGCAACATACAGAAAAAAAAAAAAAAGAAAGAAACATAAACCGTTCATGCTCTCCTCACTTTTTTGTGAAATATCCATCAAAGTCGGACAAGCCAGACTTGTTCTTTGGACTTTGTTTAAATCTACCCACACCAAATTGCTTTGTATTAGGTCAATTAGCTTCTACAGATTGCTCTAAGGAATGAGACGGATTGTTTAAACAGGTATCTTACTTAGAGATGAAAGAGAATTCTCAATATCTAATAATAAACCAAAATATTATGGTTAAAAAAACCTTGAAATAAACAGGCAATCAGCCCCAAAATTCATGCAGGTAGCAGGTAACAGTATTTGAATATAATAGCTTGAAATAGAAGCCACTAAATTTCTCATTAGCCTAATTATTTACTTCTTTGCTTTCACAGTATTGATATGCTACTGGGTATAACAGAGATTCTTCTTGCTATCACAGTGTAAGGAAATGTCAGTTTCCTTCTGTAAAAATCATGTTTTCTGTAAAGAAAACAGCTTACTGCACAAAATAAAGAGCTGTGTGGAACTGAAATTAAAGCTGTGTAGAACTGAAATTGCAATGGTCATTTGCAGTTGTGAAATACAGATTATTTTTCGGGGGGAAGAAGCAGTTAAATAGTACCTGCAACTGAAAGAAGCCTGAAAACTGTCAAAAACCCACCCCAATCTATTTCTTACCTGTTTAATACTTTTAAAAGTCCAGTACTTCCTCTTTACCCCACAAATCTCTCAGCCACTGGATGAAATCAAAATACAGCACTTGATCATGATAATCCCAGCCTCTCATGGACAACAGCATCTCTCACGGCACCACGCTGAGAATGCTTGAAATTAACCTGGAAAACACAGATATTCTTACATTTTTATTGAAATATACTCAACCACGTCTTAGGATAAGGAAACATGAGCACATCAGTGACTACATTATAAAGGAGTATAAAGCCATAAATATCACCTGGTAAACAAGACAGAGACTGAGAAGTTCATGATCCAGGCAATGTGTTTTTGCTGAATACGCAGCTCTGTTGTACTTATTGATCCAATAAAACTGTCAGGATTAAAAAATAATATTTATCTTTTTTAAAAATTGCATCTTTTCATACATAGACCTGTAAGTCCTTTTTTATACAAATTTCAAGACGAATATCTTCTTCTGAAACAAAGAGAATCTTATCTGAGAAAGGTCATGGAAAGATTTCACTAACATTACAGTTAGCATTCCATAAGAACTTTGTTGAGTACCATTTTTTAACCATGTAACCAGATGCAATGCAAACTCACACCAATAGCACGCTCTCCTCTTTACTATGAAAAGGCATATAAACAAATAAAGAATTCAGGTGGCATATTACAAGATGTCTATAATGAAGCCAGGGAAATTCAGAATTTTTTAAGATATCATGAAGAGCACCAGATGGCAAACAGGTAATGGTCAGTCTATGCAGAAGATACCCTGAACAGGGATTTCCTTAATAATATTAACTTGTTATTTCAGTCCCTGTTGAAATTTACAGAGTGACAGAACACTACTCCTAAACATCCCCAAAATTCTGAATGTCTCCTTTTTTCAAGTGCTGCATATGATTTTTAATATGGAGCAGGAAAATATGTGAACAGGGGTGAGAGCTAGTGGAATATCTATGTATGTAAGAAAAAAGAATCCACACTGAGAAATAGCTGAAATAAAATGCCAGGAAAGTTCTTGTCTAATTTTGCAAGGTGTTTTAGTAATTAGCATATAGTATGGCATCTCGAAATTTGTTAGACAAGTGGATTATCTGTTGTTCAGTCTTCATCCATCATTAGCAGTTTTTCTAGAAGTTGCACAAACAGAAGGTGTTTCTAAAAAAGAGACAAGATTGTACTTAGCCCAGTTCTGAAGTGAGAGTTCAGTGCATCTGAAGCATGATGCATAACCATTAAAAACAGCTTCCAAGTGTGCAAAATTACTTCAAATGGAAGATCAAGGATATCCAGGATTTTATGAATGTACCTGACTAGGATCAGGAATTACAATACTGATCTCTCATTATACACCAAGTCAGATGAATGCAGGAAATGTGAAAGATTAGTGGAATATACTTTGAAAATCAACTGAATAGATTGCTTTGAGATACTGATGGAATTTTTTTATCCAATCCAGTGCAGACAGATCAGTCACTTACTGGTGCGTGGGTCTTCACGACCAGACACAGAACTGAATTTTACCAAGATAAAGGAAGGAAGATACTAATATGTCTAGAATATATCTACTATGGAACTCAAAATACATGGGAAAGGGTGCTTTTCTTTGTTTGTGATTTCCACAGTAACACCTCTGATGGGGCAACAAGAAAGTTTTCCCCCGGAAATGTAATATCATAGAGACGTAGAGGAGTCTAGACAAAAATTAAAGGTTTTATGAATATCTCCTAGAAAGACAATGGAAAAGTTTTATTCAATTGTTGCCATAAAATTCTCAGAATCTGCTAGGTTGTGTATGACCAAAGTTAAATACTCAGGATAATTATATAAAATTGTGTGGTATTTTTGCATCTTACAGTGTAAAGAGGAAGATTAACTAAGATTTCAGATTTCGATGCATCAGGATTGTATGACCAAATTGAAACAGCTTTGATCTTTAATGTGAGAAAGACAGAAGGTAATATGATCAAGGGATAAATCAGCTGGATAAAGGTCAAGATCTCCAGAAACTAGAATTTGCTAATAACACAGAGAGGTGGTATTTCTGAGTCAGAATAAGGGAAACAGGGCTGAAATGATTATTAAGACAAGAACTGATGCCTGGTCATGACCAATCACTTTCTCTGAAGAAAGAGAAAACTCCTTAAAACTAGGAGAATCTGGAGTAGAAAAGTAGCCAGGAACAGCATCTAAGCCAGTGGGTAATTGCTTCTAAATACCAGTGACGGAGGAAAAGGCAGAATTCCTGAAAACATGCTAACCCAAATCCACATAACTGTGCTAACAAATGGAGATCACCTGCTAGTTTGGGACAACACAGAGAAAGATTCCGCCTTCAGAATGTTCCAAAGCCTCCTTTCATCCTACCTGAATAAAAGCTGGAGTTGAAGGTGAAACATAGGCCAGTTCTTTAAAACAATTTACACACACCTACAGAAAGTGATAAAGAATATGGAGTAGAGTGTATACAAGGCTCATAAATTAAATCTAGATTATTGTGAACAGTTAAAATAAAATAATTTTTTATTTAGGAATTACTTTTCTTGTCATTTTCTGAAGAATTCTTGTAGCAGATCCACCTGTGTTCACTCTTTTTTCACTACTTTTTGGGGGCAAAAGCTGATTGATTTTCTCCCCCCAGTGCAGGGGTGGTCCATCACCACATGCAGAAGTTAAATACAAGTGGGTGAGAAGTCTTGATAGATTAACTCCTTACTAAAAGCAAACATAAGAAGGAAGCATGCAGAAAGTGGAAGCAGGCACACTCTCAGAGGGCACAGGAATAGGGTTAGGACAGCAAAAGCCCATCTGAAGCTATATCTGTCAAGGGATTTGAAAGGCAACAAGACAGGCTTTGACGAGTAGTAAATAGAAAACTAGGGAAAGTGTGGGCCTATGTTCAAATGGGTAAGAGGCTCTCACGACAAAGAACATGGTAAAGTCTGACTTGGTGCCTTCTTCATCTTCATTTTTTACTGGCAAGAGGAGTCTTCAGGAATCTAAAACCCACGAGATCAGAGGAAATGCCTGGAGCAATGAAGAGAATGAAGAGTTACCCTTGGTGGAGGACAATACCAGTGTAAGAGGTATTGCTCAGGATGCTCACAGGAGAGGTCCCTAAAGAGCAGAAGAATGTAAAGATCACACCTAGCTTCAAGACTTGTAAGAAGGAGTATCTAGGGAACTACAAGCAAATGAAATAAAGAATCCTGGAAATCTTTTCCAAACCCATAAATGATAAGAAGTTCATTGTGAGTAGTCATCATAGATTTATGGAGGGGACATGATATGAAATAATATTAGCTTTTGAAGTCACAGACGTTTAGCAAAACTTACATTTTTTATATGATGGGATGACGACCTTGGCAGATGAAGGGAGAGCAGTGGATGTTGTTTACCCCAACTTTATTAAAATTTTAATAGTTTCCTGTAATATCCCCATGTACAGACTGATGAAAAATGGGTTAGATAAGCACATACTACAGTGTACTGAAAATTGTTTAAACTGCTGGAAGTATTTTGGTCAGTAGCCCAAGGTCCATAAGAAATCACTATTGGTTCACCTCAGGGGTGGATACTGGGGCCAACACCCTTTAACTCATTTTTGAAGACCTGGAAAACAGGAAAGAGCTCACCTTCAGTAATTTGAAGATGGCACAAAACAGGAAGGAGGGGTTAACACATCAGATGGATGTACTGCCATTTAGAGGAGTGTCAACAGGCTGCAGCAGTGGTCAACAGAAACTTCATGAAGTTCAACAAAGGGAAATGCAAACTGGGGAGGAATGACACTTCAAGAGCCAGTGCATGGTGGGGATTAACTGGCTAGCAACCAGATCTGCAGAGAAGAACCTGGAGTTCCTGGGAGACAAAGTGACCATATTCCAGCACGCTGACATTGGAGCAAAGAAGAGGGTCTGCATCAGGAGGGGTGTTGTTTGCAGATAGAGGCTGGTCCCTCCCCTCTGCTCATACCTGGTGAGACAGACCTGGAGGGCTGTGCACAGCTCTGCTCTCTCCAATACAAGTGACACGGACATTCTAGAGCAACTTTAGCACACTGCCAAAAAGGTGATGGACTGGAGCATCTCTCATGTGAGGAATGACTAACAGTGACTGGGACTGTTTATCTGGGAGAAAAAAAGTTCAGTGGGATCTTATCAATATGTATAAACACACATCAGAAGACAATGAAGATTGAGAAGTTAAACTCTTCGCAATAGTGCCAAAGACAAGACACCATCACAAACTGGAATAAATGAAATTCTGTCTGAACACAAGAAAACAATTTTTACTGTGAGGTTGTTTGAACACTGGAGTAGGTTGCCCAGGAGACTGTGGAGTTGTCATCCTTGAAGATATTCAAAATCTGACTGTAAAAAGTCCTACACAACCTACTTTAGCTGATCCTGCTTTGAGCAGGGACACTGAACCAGACTGTGTCCAGAGAGCCCTGCCATCCTCATCCATTCTGTAACTCCATGAAGTCCTATAAAATGGTTGAAAGAATGAAAGAAATGATCAATAACTTCTATTTACTTTGCAGTACCTTGAGACATATCAGTTTAAACTGTGTTGTAACAGCATGCTGTTTTACGAAAGTAAAAAAAAAAAAAAAGCTTATTTTGTTTCTACTCTGCTAAGGCAGCGGTTTTAGTGCAATAATATCAGCTGTGACTTTTGAAGTCACAGACATTCATCAAAACTGGCATTTAAATAGAGAATCTGCACAAGAAGAACATGCCACTATATCTAACCCCCCCAGAACCCTATTTAAGTAGACAGGTTTAATATTTAACATCAACTATGTTCTCTACTTGATAATTTTTACCATTACTGCAGTCCAATTTTTGAAAGCGAATTGAGGTAGTAACACTGGAGAGACAGTAAAGCTAAAGTCTGGAGGATACTTTTAAAAGTATAACCCCGCAGAACAAATACCTGATAGTTTGCTTCTTAACAGAGGCTAGTAAAATCAAAAAAGCAAAGCCACAACAAGCCTACACATTCTATTGCATTTCCACCATTGTGAAAACAAAATCAATAAATGTAGTGGCTATGTTTTGCACTGTCTTTGTTCAGGTATGTTTGATTGAAGCAGAATCCAATTTCTACATATAAGGCTTTATGATACTACTGATGACAGCACTCCGCCATTTCTGTGTACTTTGGGAGCTTCTCTGATGGCCTGAAATCCCGCTCAGGTTTGAAAATTACGCTGCTAAGTGCAGTATTAGCATTTTGCCAGTCTTGCTTTTCAATGTCATGACTATGCCCAGGCCTCACTGAAGAAAGAAACGAGAGATGTGGAGAACTGCTCTTTGGCTTGTTCTGTATGATCTGTGGGGAGGTATTCCTCTCTCCCTCTATTATTTATCATATTTTTTTTAGCAGTGCTAATGGAAAAAAAGGACAGCATAACAGGAGTTTCGTGCTGTATCATACTGCATAAATGGTATGGACCATTAACTGACCCAAGGGTTTATCATTTAAATCAAGAGCACAGGCAAAGCATGGGGAAAAAGAGCTAGTGGAGAGAAAAGAACACAGATGCAATGAACATCAGTTCTGGTGACTTGTTTTAAATGTTGGTACTGTATTTTCAGTTCTTTCAGTAGATTTGTGACAGAGATTATTACAGAGGTAGCATAGCAAATAAAACAAAGTTAAAAGGTGCTAGAACAGAGACTGGGAACTTTAAGAATAGAAAGTATTGTGATCTCCTCTCCTCTCTTCTTTTCTCTTTTTCTTTTTTTCTTCCTTTTTTTTTATTTTTTAAATTTTTCCCCTCCATAATGTTGGATCTAGAGCCTTATTTTTTAAAAAATGGATAGATGAGGTTCTAAAATAGTGAGTTACAGGAACATGAGCTTCGCTACACAATGTGTCAAAATGAAGGTTCAGTAAAAAAAGGTTTAATATAATCATGAAGGGATTGCGTTTTTCTTTTTCAGATTTCATGATTTAAGAGTGGATGTGACAAATAGGACAAGACTTATCAGTCCATGAATAAGTTAAAACTGTTCCACCCACTTAAGAATAGTGACATATATGATCTGTGACCTACTTGCCAACCAAAAGAACAAAATATACATACATCTCACCTTTTTCATGTAAAAAAAAAAGATTCTTAACATTTGTAAACATAAGACTAAAACAATTTCATTTTTAACTGTCTTGCAACATAACTACAAACAATAATAGAAGACATATTCAGATCTGTTTATTTTACCACAGAAATTATAAATAACATACCTTAAGACTTAGTGGGTTCAAGTCCTAGAGACGATCACTGCACCTTTGGAAATAAAATTCACCTGTTAAAATTATTACAACTAATTTAGTTTAGGATAAAAATTCCTGTCATTTGAAATCTTTTACTTAGCACAGTTTGCAAGCTTCTTTAGTACCAAATACCATGCTCCTTTCTCATTTCCAGGTACATTCAAGTGATGAATGCAATTTCTTCAGTCCCTCAGTTCCTTTTCTGATGTTTCCAAGAAGCAGGTTTGCTGTAATATACATTCCTCCCCACTCCAGCTTTCCTGCCTGGATTTCAGATAATTTTGTATTAGACAGCCTAGCAAGAAATCTTTCTAAAGCAACTATTTTATGAAGCAGGTATCAACTGTATTTTGTAGTCCCTCTGTAGCACTGATTCTGGTTACTGCAGCAGCAGTTAACCAACAAACTGTTCAAAAATAAATACTAATCTTACAGATGACAGAAAATAAATACCTAGCACCAACCTCTTACTCAGCTTTTTTGGAATGAAGGGGAATATAACAGTTGGACTTTTGGTTTAACAATACTGGTGTCAGCATATTGGACAAAGCATTATAGACAGAGCACTGGGAACAGTGTGCTTTGCAGAGGAACACCTGGACAAGCCTTTTCTCATTCTAACTCCTGCTTTGCACATATGTGAAAGATATCACACTTTCATACTCTATTGTGGAAGAATCACTGATGCAGATTCTTTTCTCCTCTAGGTCTACAATGATTTCAGAAAAATAATAGCATTTTATAGTATTTAATTATTTTACCCCTTGAGTCCAAGACATCAAAGCCCCATTGACAAACACATAATGATGGCATATTTTTTTCTGAGAGATTAGGAAGAGGCTCACTCCTGTGGTATCCTGTCCTTGCCATCCCTCGCTCTTCTCTAGATATATATTTATAAACATCTAATTATATCTTTGCATATCTATACAGACCTATATATGTATTTATATAGCATTGGCATATATTTTTTTAAATTACTGCCTTAAAATATTTGTTTATTCACCATCCCTTTGAAAATGTCTTAATTCGTAACACTTTAGACTTAATACATCCAATTTTCAGGAAGTGTGAGTTTACCTGTCACACTTAAAATATGATAAAGCTATAGTTCAAGCATTTTTCTGTTATTCTACTACAGAGCTTGCCTTATTACAATATAGGTAGTAAACCCATCCTATTCACTTTATTTTCACAAGTTTATCTGCTTTATAGCAAGGCACAAAGTTTACAGGGATCATCCAAGATATTTTATTTAGGTTCATGTCATTAAATGATCACTGTAGAAGCCATCACTTCTTACACTTGATGTAACCTTCAAAGTAACCTTGCTTCTATACCTGTTATTTTATTGGCTAGCACAAAGAAAAGCGTATTTTCCTACCTCCAACCACTCTACTTGTGGCTTATTAGAATTAAGTTCTGATTGTTGTAATGAAGTTGTAATTTTCTCTGTGTACAGATCAACACGCCAGCATTTATTTAATTTTAAAGACACTGAAACTTCTGACAAATCAACTGCATTAACCTGCACATAAGAAAGCAAACTTAGATAAGTATTGTTGCAGAAAAATAAAAAAGAAAAAAAAAAATTAAAATTTGCTTATTTTAGTTAATCATCTTGAAAGTAAATCTGAAACAAGTGTATTAATTTCAAGGAAGCAGGTCATCCTTCTAAGTAGAATGACTTGGGTAAGCACACTGACAGTTTTTGCAATAGTATGAAAAATGCCTTCCACTACAAAAAATAGGAAACACTTGGATAATATAATTTTTCAGATGTAATTCTTACTTAATAGAATACATATTCTGTACAACCTCATAAAGAGAGAACTCAGTGTGTTGTCAAGCTTCTTCTTTTTAAGGTTTCTTTCTGCAGTACATTACAGACCTCTTATTTTAAGTCCATGTTCCCAAATAGATCTTTTGCTGATGTCCTTTTAAAAAACCCACAATTCTTGTTTCATATTGCCTATAAAATGCTTTTCAATCATTCAGAACTAACACCATAATGGTGGTTTAAACTTCAGCTGATGTAACACCTAATGATAAAAAAAAATGCCAACTTTGTTTGTATCCAGTTGAAGTCAATGGAGATAAAGATTACCAGTGACCTCACAACTCCTGATCCTTAATCTCCAATTATCTTATTTTTGACAATAATAGATTTGTCGGATGGTTGACACAAGTACATTGAATTCAGGACTATTTATGTGACAGTAGCTGAAACCGTTCAGTGATGACTACACTACACTAAGACACATCATTTGTGAAAATTTGCATATATTTTGAAATATTTATTTGATCAAAAAACCCTTACAACTTTCATACACATGATCTCACAAGAGACCAACTTACTTCATGTATCTAGTCAATTTATTTCATCTCAAGAAGTAATTAATTCATTTTTGGCACAGTTTGTTCAAATGCAAAAATAGAAATCCTGATTTGTAAAACAAATAGGCAGCAGTTACATATATCAACACATCAGGTGGTGGGATTAGTTTATTTCAAAGAGCAATGTTCATGGACCATCACTGGATTTTCTTCTGTCTGCTAATAAAGACCAAATAACTCTTTGAAACAAAATGATGCCAGTGATGGAATAGAGACAGACCAGTGTCAGTGGCTGAACAAGAGGCACTTTGATGAATCATGAAGTATCCAAAGCAAGACTGTTCAGTTGGTAAAAGTTTTCCAGATCTCATCTGTCTGAAAGTAAGACAGCAGAAGAAAGCCTGGCTTAAAATCACAGGATTTTAAAAATTTCTATGCAAATGATTCAACCTCTTCAGGCAACTGAGACACAGTGGGGGACAAAAAAAAAAAAAAAAAAAAAAAAAAAAAAAAAGCCTATATTATTAGGTAGTTGGTAGAAAGTTTCTATCAAGTGTTGTCAGCTTATAGCTCTTCTGTCCCCATGCTTAGAAGCCGAAAGAGCAGCCTTCTGCCACAAAGTTGCCATTTTGCTGATCCTCCGAAAATCTGGCAAACGTGGTAAGATTACAAGAGTTGTGTGCATACCCAATAGAGTGAGGGGGAAAATCAAATTTTAGCTGCTCAGCATTGGTAATTTGTGACCAAGGAATGACCTGGTGTGGAGGACAAGAAGGTCCAGCTACAGAAAGGGTTTAACTTGGCTGGTCGCAGGAATGACAGGACAGAAGGACTCCCTGTAGGGAGTGAAGTTTCCCTTGGGCATGAGGCACATCACAGCGTTATCCTGTAGCAATCCATCGGTCATGGACATGAATGCTCAGGGGCCATTTCAGGTAGCAAAATCGGGCTGGGGAATGGATCCAACGCTGGACTGATGATCATGGGAGTGCTGCTGCTGCAAGTGTGCATAAGGAATCGGCTCATGCCTCACCTTCTCAGACTCCCTGTAGAACACCTTACAGCGGTAAGACTGTTCAGTGCATCATATATTAAATCTTTTCTATTTAGGCACAAACCTGTGTTTAATTCAGCTCCAGGCATACAATTCCCCTAACAACAGACTTGTGAGGTAGTGGTTAAAAACATTCAGATTCTGACTGCACAATAGGCCACACACAGGATGGGTTTATCTCACCACAGTTATAAAGTTAAACTAATTTTAATTTGAAAATGAAGCTCTTGGCAGTTTCTGGCACACTACAGATCTCTGCTGGGTTGTTCTGTGAATATTTATAAAACATTTTGGATTGAATTTTCTCGTATAAGCACAAAAGATAATGTGTACTCAGGTATGCTCATTGTATGTATCCTATTGTATGTACCAGTAGGACAATATGAATTTCTTTTAACATAATCTATAGGCCCTCCTTTCTACACTGAAAACAATGGAGAATCACTCAGCCTGAAAGAGTCAGCTAAGTGATCTATAAAAACAAATTTCCTTAACTAAAACCAATTAGGAATGTAATATTGAAGTCACAGTTCTCACAATAACTAAGAGGTAATTACTAAGCTTGTTCTGTAGCTGATAAACAAAGACTTTGAAAGCAAATTTAATCACTGATTTCTTGTCCTAAATTTAGATGCCAAATGAGATCATATAATTACAGATGAATGAATTTTTATCTGTATTTTGTGTATAATCATGTCTAGCATGCTAATTGCAAAAGCAAGAAAAACAGAATCTTGCATGTTTATTTTAAGAAATAACAGTGGGGATTCACTTTTAGCACACAAAGACAGATACAGTCTTGCAGTTATAGGAAGATGAAAATTAATCAGTCTCCATGAACTCACCTACATCCACAGAAAAATTTTGCATGAAATTAAGCATGCGTCACTGGGACCCTCTATCAGAAATCAACAGAACGACAGAAGGAATATATTCCTGTCAGAATGTGCTGTAGGAAGGTACATAACCAGCAGATCCCCATGCTGGTCCCATTACATCCTTTTTCATGTTGTCCTGTCTTAAATAGCATAAGTTCCTTATTTTTCTCTACCTATACAACAATCTCCATCACTTCTTCATTCTTAGTGGCATAGTCACATTCTTCACTGATAGCTACTTCTCATATTTTAAAAGATCTCTGAAGTGATGCTTTTGATTGTTATCTGAACATGTATATTTCTCGACATGAGGTTGAGAAAATGTCACTAAATGGAACAAAAAAATTCTATGTTCATCTGTGTCCACCACACCCAAAAAATTCCATCTTTTGCCAAGAAAACTGTATGTGCTTAGTGTGTGGTATAGTATAGATGGATTTCTACTGAGTTAATTATGGCATTAATACTGAAAAGCCAAGGCTTACCTTCATGCAGGTAACTTTGTGTTTAATTCAAGGTTATGGAAAATGACAGCAGTGAACCTTATGGAACATTGAAAAAGCATCAATAATAGTAGCAGAAAATGAAGAAAAGTAGAGTCCATGAGAACAACAGTAAGCATTTTGAAATTGACCCCTTTATCAGAATGCGGTATGCCAGTGTGAACAATTATGGTTCTATGGCAATTTTGAGAGGAAAGAGACTGAAACTGTACTTTTAATTTCTCCAAAATTTTGTCTAGGT